ATTTATTAGTTTTAAGATCAAATTTGTAAGTGTCTAAAGTTACGAGACTAATAGTGAAAATATCCAAAAATTACGGGACAAAAATTGCAAATTTCTCAATGCAAGTATTCAATAAAGAATACTTAAAAACCTTCGTTGATATGGACTGTGGTGTATGAAATTGACGTCATGTGCTTTGCCCTGTTACGATGAATGAATAGGTCATAATGATCCATGTATCTATGGTCCACTAATATTTGTCTTATGTCAACATGTGAATTATGATTAAAAATAGTCTACTGATTTTGATCACGTCAAAACGTTTGTTATAACTATTCATCATGTTAACCTCATGTAATAATGTGATTTAGAGGCGTTTGGCAATACAGTTTTTCGGCTTATCAGGCTTATCAGCCAATTTTTCACCAAACACGTAATTTTTTCTTTCGCGCACTAAATTGTGTAATAAGCAGAAAAAATAATGTTGAAGTTACTTTTCTGACTGTATTGGCTGAAGTTACTTTAGATGACCATTTTAGCTATTTTTACATATATTTTATTCTTTATTTTATTAATAAAATATATTTTAAAAATAATTTTTTCTCAAATCAGCAGAATCAGGCAATGCAGCCACTTCTGTCAGAACTTCATAAATTTCAGCAGAATCAGCCAAACCAGCCGATTTTCGTGCTACCAAACGGGCTCTTAGTGTTTGAACATGCAGAATATATACTAGCTATCGTCCTATTCAAACATTTCCGTCCACTATTCATATGGTTAACTTAATTCATTCTTAATCTTTTGCTTTATATATCAAACTTTTATCAAATTTAAATTTTCATGATCAGATTTTGTAAAACTTTTAGTGTAGTTTTCAAATATATAAATTTTATTTATTAAAACTAATCAGAGTGTGAACATAGATCAAGTTACTTTATCGTCAGTCAAGCATATTCTAGCATATACTACGTACCTTATTTTTATGGAACCGTTTGGAACACAACATCTCTTTGCCCAATTTTTTATGTGAATCAGAATAAGTGACTTGTACTGTTTTCTTTATTTGTTTAAGTATTCTGATAATACATTCTAAAAAAAGTATTCCGATAATGTACGTAGAGCTAAACGTAATAAGCATAAATCCCTCTTTTTTTAAAGAAGCATAAATCCCTTTTAATATCACAGCACGCATGTATGATGTATCATTTCATTCACGTTTCTGACTATTTCTTTTAATACCCAAATGGGTCGGTGGAGGGGGTTGAGGGAGCCTGATGATGAGGTAAACAGGATATGAACTCCCGCTCCGATTGAGTCCGTTCGATATAGGGAGGTCGGCCGAAGAGACGACATTATCTTTAGTGCACGATTCAGAGAAGGGTGGTGCTATTTGTCCTACGAGTTTCGCACCAATTTCACAATTGGTCCACATCTTTGACTACTTTTGATAGACTATTGTGTTATCACCCATATATGATCCTTCCGAAAATGTTTCTGTTGGTTAAAATCGTCGGAGAAGGACCATAATTAAATGATTAGGAATCTTTAGTGAAGTGCTAAAAGTGGACAAAGTGAAATATGTATACTACATGCGGAATTGATACAAAATTGTTCAGACTAAATTAATTACTCCGAGTTATTATCAATATGAGTTTATGTGATTGATATTGAATTAATAAAGTAAGAATAAAGTAGTAATTTTTAGAAGTACACAAACTTTATCAAATTTGATACGTATATGAGAGAATTTTAGGAGGACGAAGCAAAAATGAAAAATGAGATAATTTTAGCGGGACAAAGGAGTATATTAGTATAAATATTAACCATTTGACTTTGTGCTACTCGTGCATAATATTTCCTTAGTCAAAATTTTCCTCGTAATCAAAAGCATTAATTTTATTTCTCTATTTATGGAGGTCTATAAAGAGAATTGATTTAACACATGAGTGTCCAAATAAGGTTAGTCCACGAGGGTTGTACATATGCAAATGTGTGTGGGGACGACATTCTTTATTATTATTCCACAATCACGGAGATCTTTTTTTACTTGCGATCCTTTTCATTCCCATCCTTTATAATGAATATTAATGGAGTCAGGCCTTTCGGTTCTTCCTTCTTAATTAATTAATATTCGCATTGTACATTCGTGTGTTACCTTTGATATTCTATTTTTTATCATTCCTTTGATATTCTATTTTTTTTTTTTATAAACCAGGTGTCGGAGCTTACGCTCCCATAATCCTGGAGTCTATGAACTACCCTCCAAAACCCCTAGACAATTAAGTCTGGGTCTAATCACAGTCAGCCTCGTCAGTACTGGCTCAAAGGACGAATCCAACAGGACTTACATCACCTTTCAGACTCCTCGTCCTACCACACGATATTCTATTTAAAAAGTGCACAAATATTCATCTTTTTCTGTAATTTAATTTAGAACAATAAAATAATTCGTTTCAATATTTTTAGATAACTCAAGAATACTTCCAAGTTCCAACAATGCAGCCCTACTATACCACCTTGAGGCGGGACCGACCACCATCAAGGCTATACCTGGGATTGACATTTTTCTCAAAACCTGCTTTGTTCATGTTTTAAAAGATAAAAAGAATTAACAAATTTCACAAATTCTTTAATTATAAAAGTAAAAAAATTAATGAGACAATAGAAAAGGAAAACAATCAAAGTTTTGAGAAACTTTGTATGGCGCAAAAATAATATATTTCAGTTATTAAAGAAAGAGTATGGTATGATATAGTGATATAGTGATATGTTAGCACTTCAATTCTTTTTTCAGCCTTGTTTCACAAACAACTACTTCATCTGTCCCGCTAACAATGGGACAAAAAGAAGTGACACGTAAATTAATAAGAAGTGCTTTATATGATCGATATTGAATTGATAAAGTAAGAATAAAGTAAGAATGATTTAGAGCCACACAAACTTTACTAAATTTAGTATGAGACAATCTTAGTGGAACGAACTGATAAGGTAAAATGGGACAATCATAGCGGAACAGAGTTAGTATTTAGCAGATACTTGAATATGCTATGATTTTTTAGTGGGTATTATAAACGTAAGGATCAATCACTTGATCTTAACAACTGAAGCATGTAAAACGTACTCTAATTAGCTTATCAAAATACTAAACTCTTTCATCCTTTACATTTTATTAAGTATCACAATTAGTACTACGGATTGTTGACTTGTTGTTAAACTTGTTATTCTTGGTTTCAATTCGTCGTTATATATGTAATTCAATAATAACAATTTAACGTTGAAATAGTAATAGTGATTCAAATAAACAAGCAATTACGTTTGAGTATCATAAATTAAGCCGTGGATAAAAATGTACGATAGTATACTATAGATAAAATATCAATCTGCTTACCTCCAATAGCAATCCATGCTAGCATTTTCGGTTACAACGTTTTGTTTCTTGTTTAAGAAAAATAAATATAAACCTCAATATTATGAAGAAAAAGGAGAGTGGTGTTAGTATCAATATTAAGATTACAATCCATAATAAAAATAAATACCCATGGTTTATACTATCGTATATAGTACTACCTCTGACCCCTATTATTGAGACAAAGGAGAGTGATGTGACTTTTAAGAAAATTAGAGTTGTGTAGTTAATAATGAATTGATAAAGTAAAAGTAAATTAAGAATCAATTAAACTATACAAATATTATCAAGTATGTTAACATTGCGATTGAAATTGAATTCATTTCTTTATACTATTGTTTTGATCTGGATCTAACTGTTCTGATCTAGAACGGTCTTTAAGTCTGATCTAATCTAGTTTAATATTGAAGTTAGTCCAAATAAAAACATCATTAACCTAAAACAAAATCTTACTACATACGGAGTATATTTTATGTAGTAATACTAATTAGAATTATATTGTTCAAGGTTAAATACACTAATGCACTGGTAATGTACTCACTCTAAAGTGCCAGGAGTAGTAAAAATAAGGTGACAACTTCGGTATCCATTTAAAAAATGGGGTACCGTACCTACACTCATTTGATTGGTTCAAATCATTACATCATTTTTAATTTAGATTTAAATAATTCAACTACATTATTCTAATTACTACATTATTCTAATTCAACATGGGATGCACGATCACCGAGAGTCTGGGAAACGTGGAAAATATTAGGCGAAAACAATTGACCAAAAATGTTTTCGTTTAAGATTTTCTGAGATGCTTTGATACATAAAATCACTACTCAACCCCTCCATTATTTAAGTTTTACTATCCAAAAAATTAAATTAAATTAAAATCTAGTGAACAATGTCAAGAAAACGCGTGTTATTTTATGGACTGTTATTGAATTATATTTCGTTTTTATTTGTCATTCATTTGGCGGACACTGATACTCGAAAATATAAATAAATATCATTTGTATAGAAAATCCATTCCATATATAAGATATATACTTCCCAAAAACAAAAAGTTCTCACATAATTACATGCCACTCCATATATAAGATTTAATTATATCATTTGAATAATGGTTTTCTATTGCATGTAATCTCAATGTATCTTATGCCAACCTAATAATAAATCCATGATGAATAAAATTGAAGTAATAAAGGAAAGCAGTGAATAACAAATACTCTTATATATATGCATTCCTATAATGATCGATATAGTTTTTGTTGATCAGAATAATAAACACTTCTACAACAAACAAAGTGTCTACAGGGATATAAATTAACAATAAAGGTCAATTTATTTGAAAAGTAAAGCTTGAATTTCCAAGTATCCTATGAGTTGCATATATATCTTTGATCATCAGGCATTCTTAAGCATTTGAGTTTCATCATACAAAAAGAAAACAATTGAAAATGACAATTTAGTTACACTAATCACTGTAATCAGCTCAATAAAATAAGCAAAACAATAGGGAGCTGAGAGTTAAAAAACATTTCTTTGAACTGAATCACAAAGAAATTAAAGCAGATGGACTAATAGATATGTGTAACAATCAAACCCTCATCAGTGACAGAAGGCCATAATATTCAACACACTCTAAATCTAAACTCTAAACATGCACTATCAAAAGAAGAAGCTCAATCTGAGAGCTTCAAATTGAGTGCTCCATTTAAATGTTTGTAAAGATGTAAAAAAAGAAGAAGAAAGCATATACTGACTAGCTAGAATGGGCACTAACTAAGCTGCTGTGCTGCTAGAAGTATGTATGTAAATTGTAAAAGGTCCATTTCAATTTTATTACTTTTACCTGTTGCATGAGGATGTGATCCTCATCAGGCCATCATCAGATCAAATCATCCATAATGTCTGGAACTTCATTGAGATCAAAAGCAAGAACCTTCGGCCGATCTTCAACGACAATGACGGGAGTTGTCGAGGATCGCTCCGGGGATGAAGAGGCCGCAGCAGCCATTACTACCTCCTGCTGCTGCTGCCCCAGGCTGAACTCATGAGCAGCAGAATGGCACTTCTTGTGGCCCCCCAAAGCCCTCCTTGTTGGGAAATTCTTTTTACAAACACCACATGGATAATTATTAGCAAGAATACCAGCAACATCAACATTTTCACCATTCTCGTCATCATTATTATCATTATTAACACCGGGAACAACGGATTGAGGATCATCAATGGCGTTTTGGATCGTGACCTTGAATTTGTTGTGACTCGACCGGTGACCTCCTAATGCCTGGTGAGTCGTAAAAGACTTGCTGCAAGTGCTGCATTTGAACTTATTGCTGTCTTCCCCACTGCCAATCTCAAAATCCATTGATCCCTTCTCGCATATTCTTCTTTTCTTGTTACTGTTATTGCTGCAATTCTTAGCTGGAAAAGGAGATCCCAAGTTCTTCAAACTAACCAGCGCTAATCCCAATGCTTCTTCGTCGTCTTCTGAGCTGAAATTCTTGCTGACGTCATCGTCCTCATCATGGATCTGGTCGAAATTGAATTCGCTGCTGGAAGATTTCTCCTGGGATCTGAACCTGGGCTCCCAAATGGCCTTCCCTTTACCCTGACTCTGGAAATTGAATCTCCCATTCTTAATGTTCTTGGATGGGATTTCAGGATTAGGGTTTTTGAAAGAAGGATGAGGGTATTGGGAATCTGCATTGACCAGGCGGTTGACCGGATTGACTTCGTCGGATGAGGAGGAGGAGAAGGCGGACGGATTCGGGGACCGCCCTCTCTGGCCTTTCACCGACCAGCTCCAGAGCAGTGTCTGTAGGTTCACTGCTGCAGGGCTGCCGCTGCTGGTGGAAGTAGTGGTCTGATGATGATTTTCGAGGTTTATGTTGGGATGTCGGTGGTGGTTGTACTGGATGAGCGGTGGCTGCTGCGGCGGCGGATGCGGCGGCTCCATGCCTCTCCAGCATCTCTCCGGATGGCATCTCATGTGGCCGAAAAGCGATTTTCTGGAAGGGAATTTCTTATCGCAAAGAATGCACACGATTTTCCCGTCCTTTCCCCTGAAATACTGGCGGCTAGCTAATTCCTCCTCCCACTCCTCCTCCTCCTCGTCGGACGCCGCCGCGCCGCGGAGGCGGAGCTGCTGCTTCTTCTTGTACGAGTAATCCCTATTGGCCTGCACGTGCGCGCTGCTCATGTGACCTCCCAACGCCTTCCCGGAGCTGAAAATCTTGTTGCACGACCTGCAGACGTGGACTTTCTTCTCCTCCGCCGCAGACGGCGGAGACAGCTTGGGGCCGCCGATCCTCAGCTTCATCCCCGCCGCGGGAAAATCGGGCCTTTTCTCATTCTTATCGTCGTCGTCTTCACGACGATCCATCTTCTGTGATGGGCTTCCTCGCTCCATCCGGCGGCCGGCCCCAAATCGAGAGTCCAGAGAACAGAAAACGGAGCTAAGCTAAGAGAAGAAGGAAACGCCAAAAGGCGGTGGGGTATACTATGAAAAGCGGTTTATGAATTTTTTAGTATCAGCATAATTATAAACCCTAGAATGTAGTGTAGAGCGAGAAAGTTTAGTGTAGAGAGAGAGAGCAGTAGATTAGAGTTGAGTACATTATTCTCGGTTGATGATGATTAAGGAAGAGAATACCAAAGGGTAGAGGCCACCAGTGGCTTTTTTTTAATAATTATTGTTTTCTGATAATTGTTAATTATTATTGTTCCGTTATTAATTGATTAATTACGGAGTATATCGAATTGAAATTATTGGCTAAAAAAAGCAGGAAAATGTTACCTCGTATTTTATTGGTGGGAATTTTGATTATTGGAGAGAAAAACGGATAATGGTACCGGACTCTCCTACTTGCATACAAGGATTCCAGCCCACAGAGGTAATTTATCACTAATTTTCGATATTTTTTATAACTACTATTATTGCCGTTTTCGAAATTTTATTTTTTTGGTGTTGGGGTCTTACTGAATTACTGGTCAGGCTTGTACATGAAATGTTTAAAGATCTAAACCTAGCTATAAGGATCCATTACTTACTGTGTATTTTAGAATGCCATATAATGTGTATTGGTTTTGTTGGCAAAATATTTTGTGCATTTAAGTTCTATTTTATGTAATTCACAAGGTTTGGCTAATTTGAAATCGTTAAAATGTTTTACTTGGACTGATTTTTTTTGGTTTGGGTTGATCTGGTTTGGTTTAGTCTGATAAAGGTCTGGTCTATGTGTCTTTTATAACTTTCCAAGTTTGATCTAGTATGATCTGATATGATCTGGATTGGGAAAAATTTAAGACAAAACATCCTCACTATGACGGGAGGTTACAATCTTGATCTCAATTCAACCAGTCCAATATGAGTTGGTGTCATGCTTGATTTATTTTGGTACGATCTAAATTAAACATGTTTAATACTACGTATTTGTTCTTGTAGCGATCTTGCATATGTTTGAGTTTTACTAATCTTCTATTTTTATGTCTAATTGTTCAATTCCCTTTTAGAGGGAGTATGGAAATGGTACTATTTTTGCTTCTTTTTAAAAACAGAAATACAATTAAAATGAGTTTTTTCAAATGTTGGTATCCTCCGGCTTCTCAAAACCTGCTTATAGGAGTAAGTAGAAGTATTTCTGCATTTTCACTGCAACGCTCAAATATAGGTTTTTGCTCCCTCAATGTGCATAATAAGTTTTGAAAAGCAGATTCAAACACTTCTTTAGTATGCTCATTTGATTAAGACTAGCCAATATTTTAATCCATTACTTTTAGAGAAGCCAAAACAAAGAAACCTCTCAAGACATTCTAAGAACTCCTTCATTCAAAAATAAATGTTTTCTTTTCTTTTGGAGTTATCTCAACAACATGAAGCACAACTTTTAATTTTCCGGTTGAATGCTGTAACAAATATAATGTCTCATATAATACTAAGTAATATACTCCATCCACCCTTCTAAGACTTGTACAAGAGGAAATGATATAACTGGTAAACATTTGAATTTAAGTGGTTGATATTGAATGGATGATCGAGAATAAAGTAAAAATGAATAGTAATCTTACAAATATTACTCCGTATTAAATACATAGTCCATTTGGTGACTTTTTTCCGGCTTATCAGACTTATTTGCTGACTTTTTACCAAACATGTAACTTTTGATTTCGCGTGCCGAATAGTGTAATAATAGCAAAAGGTGAGTTTGGAGTTACTTTTATGGCTGTACTGGCTGAAGTTACAGTATATAATCATTTTAGCTATTTCCATATATATTTTTGCTTATTTTATTAATAAAATATATTTTAAATATAATTTTTCTTAAATCTGCAAAATCAGTCAATACAACCACTTTAGTCAGAAATTCATAAATTTCAGCATAATCAGTTGATTTCAGTGTTATCAAACGGGCTTGTAATATAGAACAAATACTCCCTCTGTCGCACAATTAACTTCACAGTTTGACCTACACACTTATTAAGGAAATAAACTAATTACCATGTGGTAATTTTTACTGTTTTGACACTATTTTGACACTGTTTGGCACTGTTTTACACTATTTCGACATTGTTTGGCACTGTTTTGCACTGTTTGACACTGTTTTGATGTAGATTAACTTATCATTTAACGAAATGAGAACTTATTTTTGGGACATATAACGAAATGAGGAAGTATATAATGGGACGGATGACAAAGTAATATCGGATACTATAGTGGGATGAAGGCATGGAGGAAATAAAAAAAGAATGACATAGAATAGTGAATAGAGGAGAAGAAGATGCTAGCTAGGAAGTTGGAGTGGATGTAGTGGAAAATGGGAATGGGAGGGCGTGCCCAGAAAAAGTTAATTTGAAGCTCCAAAAAGCAGAGCGGCTTTCCAAAGATTTGGCTGACATCGAGTCCGCCGTATCACTGCCCACCCCCAAAATGTCTCTCATAGACTTATAGCCTCATTGGGATGCGCCTTTTCTTTTAATTAATGCTCCCTATTTTTTTTCTTTCTAAATGCACTCTCTTATTTGATTCGGTGACTCTAAACCAATTAGGTGTACTCAAATAAGAACATAATACTATGTATATCATCTTGTACTGTTATTTTAAAAATATCTAGAGTATTACTGGTTTTATCTCGTTAAGATTGTATTACTTTCCTTTTAAGATTGTATTACTGGTTTTATCTAGAGTATTTTAAGATTGTATTACTTTCCTTTTTCATACTATTGTTCAATACCAATTTTGATAAATTTAGTGAGACGAAGATAGTATACAATAATACACTAGTACTTCCCAATCGATCTTTCATGCAAGGATTTTCAGTTTGGATTGGTTTCAATTACCAATTTTGCTTGGTGTACATCCTCTTTATTTTTCGTTCGCATAAACAAAAACAAAGAACAGGAGGAAAGAAAAAGAAGAAGATGATGAAGATGATGAATAAAACCAATTTTTGTTCATACCGACAAATTTTGACGAACGCGTTTGTATTTGTACTTCTTTTGTTCGTGTGAAGGGCAAATAAAGAGGGTTGTAACCCAATGTGTATACCAAGCAAAATTGTTCGATTATAGATCATACTAGATCAAATTTTGACAGTTGTGAAACACACATAGACCAAACATCTACTAGATCAGACTAGGTCTATTCAGACAACCCAAACCAAATCAGACCACAAAAATACATTCCAATTAAAATTAAAAACATCCTAATTATGTAACCCTTGCCGTACTCCTACTGTTATCATGTGAACATGCACATGTGTGTATTCTTTTGATAAACTTAACTCTCTCTTATAAATAATGTTACACAACATATACATTGTTCACGTAATTAATTCATTTCAAGCTCGTTTTAGTCTACAACTTTATATAATAAACCTTAGAGAGAATTCCCTAAATAAGACTAAAAAAGGTATAATTGCAAAAATATGACTACTATGTTTTATTGGATAAAAATAGGACTAAAAAAACCTAAACTGACTAAAATACCCTTAATAAAAAATTTACGCAGGCTCCTGCGCAGGTTTTCCCTTCCCATGTGTTGCGCATGTTTCCCCTTCCCCTTGCTGCGCAGGTGTGTCGTGTTCGCAGGTTTGGATCGATGTCTCCACCATTGGCACCTCTGCCACCATCCATCAAGTTTGCCACCACTGCCACCCCTCAGCGAGTACGCTGTCATCATTCTCTAACAAAAGATCTGCCCTCCACGAGAATGTCACTTAATATGCATAGTGATACAATAATGACAATTTCATATAGAAACATGACATGCATTCCCAATATGACATTTTCAAATACTATAATGACATAGAAGTGACATTTTTTTAAAATGACCACTAATGACACAATAATGACAATTTCGTATAGAAACATGACATTCTCAATATGACATTTTCAAATATTGTAATGACATAAAAGTGTCATTTTTTAAAAATACCCAATAATTATGACATTCTCTTATTCAAAAAGTGGCATTTTCTGGAATAATTATTCTGGGCATTTTGAGGTTCAAATTAATCAAAATTGATAACAAGAAATTCAAGTTCAGATATATCTTCATTTAAAACTTTCAAAATTCAAAATTTCATTTAAAATTTGATTGATAAAAAACTGAAAAAGAAAGAAAGCAGAGTTGATGAAGAAGAAGAAGAAGAGGAGGAGGAAGAAGAGGAGAAGGAAGAGGAAGAAGAAGAGTAAGAGTACATACCTGTCTTGGCTATTGCAGCAGAGGTCATCGACGGCGGAGCTACAGTGCTGTGAGGCTACGATCGATGATGGCAGAGTGCAGCCATGGTAGATGAATGCGGCGATCGATTATTTGTAGAAGGCAGAGGATGAGTCGGTTAGGTTAATGAGGGGTAAAAAGTAATCTTTAGTCCTATTAAGGGAATAATAAACTTGAAGTCTTATTGTGCAATTATTTTTAAACCATATCATTGATTCATCTCAAGCTCGTTTTGTGAGGTCAAATTGCATAGAAAATATTGAAATGGGAAGAAAGAAGTTGCATTAATTTATACATGCATGTCTAAAAGTAGTTTTATTTTCTTTAATTTTGTTCAGAAAGTTCTCTCCTACAATATAAAATTTTCAATCTCACCCCTCTATTAGCTAGCTTACATGCACAACAGTGTCTTGCATAACAGGGGCGGACCCAGGAAAGTCATTTTGGGGGCGAAAATATTTTGGAGGGGGGTTCAAAATACTTTTTGGAAGAGTAAAAATTATTTTTCGTATATATATACACTAAAAAAAAATTGTTGGGGGGCGGTAACCCCCCTGGGTCTCTACTACGGTCCGCCCTTGCTTGCATTATAAGAGCTTGAATATAGATCGATATGTTGAAGCTGATTATTGTGAAACGGAATGCACTTGGTCATTACTTGTAATAAAAACGCTTTTTGCCTTTAATGCCTTTCACAGTGAAAAACTGAAGCCTTAATCATTAAACTAATAATGAAAAATGCTAAGCTCTTGGTCTAATTTTTTTAAAATGTTTGAGAACTCCAAATTTGCTTTATAGTACATGTTTATGTTCGAAGTACGGAGTAATATATTCAGCATGTGTGGAATCGACACCCACTCTCACTTATAA